TATTTAGAAATCAGTACTAAAATTAATGAATTAAGAGTTTTCAGTTTAATGTTCAATCTGATTTCAATTAGATTTATACCAAGAATAAAGTGCTTAAATAAGGCAAAGGTGTGCAGTGCTCCCCTCTTCTCACCATAAAAAAGAGAGAGGTGTGGGGCAAGGGATTGGTAAGCCAGGGAATGGCTTTAAAGTTTGAGTAAATTCTAATATATTTTTTGTTTAAAAATAGCATGTCACAGCATCCAATTTTCACTAAAAAATCTCTGTCCAGTCTGTCTCCCGTCCTTTCAATGCCTAAATATGCATAGAAATGTCTGAATAATGATCTGTAAATTCTATTGATAGTTCCATGTGATGGGCTTTTGGGCACATTTTAATTTTTTTTATACTTTTCTTAATAAGCTGTACATATTCTACAATAAATATGTATATATTTTAAAGCAAAGTTGCAGAAGCATAAAGGAATGGAAATAACATACTAATAAGTTCAGGGTACGTGGGGTAGTCTGGGGGTGCTGGGGAGACAAAACTGAAGGCAGAAGGCAGTTTGGTCAGAGTTCGGTTGCTAGACTGTAATTGTATTTTACTTGGTAGGAAATGGGGCACCATTCCCTGCTAGAGAGTAAGGAGACTTGATCTTTGTTTTAAGAAAGCTGATGGAGGGCAGTGTCTAAGGGATTTTGGTGTGATGTCTCTTTTTACATTATTAATGTACACAAAATGCAATTCTATAACAATCAGATATCATATATCTTGGCAAAAGTTATAATGAAATCTGTTTAGAAGCTTTGAGAGGTGAAAATAACAAACCAGTATCACCTGTTTTATAAGGTTGTTGTGAGGAGTAAATGGTATATTTTAAGGGCTTTAGTATCATGCTTGGCATGTGGTATGTGATAGGTAAATTTTTGGTGTTATCATTATCACAACCATCGCCATTTCTTATTATATAGATTCTCCATCAAATGCTCTCCAAATCAGCTTCGTTTTGCTGATTTTTAAATTAGATCAGTGTTCCTTTAACAAGCAGTTTGCTTGAAGTGAAGTGATCCCCCCAACCCCCCAACCCCAAGTAATTTTTCTTTCCAGGAACTACTGAGTTTTCTGGAGTCTTAACTATATTTTTAGACTCCGTAGCATCTGATAGTATTGCAAATAAGCAACCCTTAATTTTTGGTCTTCAGGGATTTTACTGACGCTCCCTTGAAGCAGTATAAAATATGCCTATATTTTGCCATAGTTTTGCTATTACTAATGAGATAGTTGCTAAGTCAATATTTTCTTCAGTTTTATAGTTTAAAACTGCTGGATGAGATACAAAGGTTATTATTCCATAAGGCTGGAGGAAAATGTGATGCCAGTTTTACTTAAAAGAAAAAACTGGGAAGGAAATTTACTAAGATAATGATAGAATCTCTGGTTGGTGGGACTATTGTTGATTTTCAAAAATACTAAGTTATATACAGTGAACATAAATTTCTTAAAAAATCAAAAGATGAAAATAAAGATCTGGAATCTAAAGACAGGTACCATCTCACTCTGTCTCCCACTTCCTTCTTACTAGTTCACCTATTTGGACAAGTCACATAATCATCTCAGAGCCTTTATTTCTTTATCTGGAAAAGATGAGAATCAAATTAGTAGAAGTACATAGAAATGCTGAGGAAATTGTGAAATGCCATACAAATGGTGGTTATTATTAGAAGTAGTCTTAATTTTCACGAATTATGCTCTTCTGTTTTGGAGAGGTCTATTCTAAAGCTCTAGTGCTTCATTTTACTGCATTAGAAGAAGGCACTTACGTAGAAATCATAGGTATGATGACTCAATTTTATCCAAGCCTTCTTTGTCTGTTTTTAATAGAAATTCATTTTTAATGGTAGCATTCAAGTCAGAGTGGAATTTTGAGTAATAGGACCAGCGAAGTATTTTTTTTTAACAAATCACTTCTGTAATATTTCATATTTAGAAGAACTTCATAGGTTGAGTTAGTGGGGCAAATTCTCAAGGTGAAAATCTAAAGTTGAATTCTTTTGTCAAATGATAGAATAGCTCTGCTTGGCTCCAGTAAGCCTGTATATTTGAAATGTGTTTCCCACACATTTATGAAGACAAACAGAAAAATATTTTAGTTCAAGTTACAGGTACATGCATGACATTTTGTAAGCTCAAAAATGATTAGATTTTCCAATCATCAAAGGTTTATCTTATGAGTTCCCACAAACCTAGTATACGCAAAAACAGCCTGACCTTGTTCTTTGTAAACACAAGGGCACTTGATTTTCTAGTACTTGTTAGAATCGGTTTGGACAAACCTTGCCGAGCTTCGTCAACAATGTCACCTGTCAGAGATGAGTTCTTTGAAGACATAAATTTATTCAGGATTTTCCTGCTAGTTGGGTGAGAGCTTCATTTTTCTGATGTTATCTCAGCTTAAAATTCCAAAGCTGTCTTTAAGAAAATAACATTGGCTCAATCAGCTTGGGTATATCACAAAAATATTTAGCCCTATCAGGCCAGAAATTAGGACATAATGCTGATTCTTTCCCCCTGCAAACCATTTTTATAAAACGCAGTTAAGATACTTGAATATAGGCAGTTACATTCAGGGTTCAAAGAACCTCTTTTTTTAAACTGCAGAGTTTAACCAACTGGTCTCTGACCCTTCATATCATCAAGCTTGTCCTGGATCAACTCATTTTCTCTAGCTTTTTAAGTTCTTAACTCAGTCTGCCATTTTCTCACTAGTAACCAAGTCCTTCCTTCCTATTTCATATCTATGGTTGAAGGCACCAGTCATGAACTCCTCCAGTTTTCTGCATTACAACCTTCCCCCTTTCCCTAAACACAATGTAGCTATGTTCTCATCCATGTTTACTTTCTCATCTCAGAAGCACAGCATATTTTTTTCTCCTATTGAAGAAAAATTCCTTTATCATCTTTTAAAATATGCTTTTATTGATTTTTGAGAGAGAGAGGGAGAGGAAGAGAGAGAGAGAAACATCTATTGGCCCCCTCCTGCACGCCCCCTACTGGGGATCGAACCTGCAACCCAGGCAAGTGCCCTGACTGGGAATCAAACGAGACCTTTTGTAGCACAGGGTGACATTCAGCTAACTGAGCCACACTGGCCAGGGCTCTTTTATCTTGGTACCTAGTTTCGTTTCTGTTTCCCTTTTCCTCTAAGATCTTGATCTATAAATTTCACACCATGTCTGGTTTTAGCCCCTCACTCTCTATTATATTTTCTCCTACAGATTGAGCATGCATAAGTATTTTCCTCAGTTAAACAGAAAAGTCTTTGTTCCTGCAACCCATTCTAGTCACTGCCTCTCTGTTCACTTTAAAATTAGACTTCATAAAGAAATTCACTTTAAAATTAGACTTCATAAAGAAATCCGCCGAAACCGGTTTGGCTCAGTGGTAGAGCGTCGGTCTGCGGACTGAAAGGTCCCAGGTTCGATTCCGGTCAAGGGCATGTGCATTGGTTGCAGGCACATCCTGGTTGGGGGTGTGTAGGAGGCGGCTGGTCCATGTTTCTCTCTCATCGACGTTTCTAGCTCTCTATCTCTCCCTTCCTCTCTGTAAAAAATCAACGAAGTATATTGAAAAAAAAAAAAAAAACAATAGAGAAAATTAAAAAAAAAATTCATAGTTTCCATTGAATCCTCAACCCACATCTGGCCCCATATACCCTTCACTACACCACTTTTCACCAGGAACATCAATGACTTCCAGGTGACTCTGGTCAATGCAGACATTTCTCCTTGAATAATGCATGTTGCATTATTACCTTGGGTCTCAGTAGGATTCTTGGAACTTTTAGCTCCCTCGTTTCCTTTATGACTCTCCATCCATCTCTTCAGCTTTCCTTTCTTGAGTTCCTATGTGAACTCTTCTTGTTCCTCCCTTAGACTATGACATTGCCAGGATTTTCTCAGCCCACTCTTGCCTCACACTGCAGGTTCTCATTGTCTGTCTTGGTTAGCATGGAGCTGATGGGCTCCCAAATCTGTGTGTCAGCCTTCAGCTTTCAGACTGGAATATCCAGCAACTGACTTCACATCTCAGCCACCCATTAAATCATTGATTCATCAATATTCTGAGCATCTACTATCACCAAGCTCTGTCTTAAAAGACCGAATAATGAAAAGACTGGTTCTACTCTGTCAATGGGAAAGCTAGGTGGAAAACCCCAGATAGTAACAATATAGTGAATTGTACACTCAGAGAAACAAAGGGTGCTATGAGTACAGAGGATAGGGACAGACACCACCTCAGAGCTTTCAGAGATGTTACCCCCTGAGTCTTAACATGCAGGAAGAGAGATCCTTTTCCTCATTTATCTTCTTAGCATCAGGTGCTGCCATTTTAGTTCTAAGATAGGCCTCAGGTCCAGCCCTCTTCCCCATCTGTACTGCCTCTGCCTGATTCAAAGCCTTGGTATCTGTCGCCTGCATTATTGAAGTAGATTCACAAGTGGTATCCTGTTTCATGTCCTAACCCCTTTGGTCCACCTTTCTCAAGGCCAGCATGGTAGAGCAAAAATGGTGATCTCACTTCGTCACTGTTTGGCATAGAAGTGTCCCGTCACCTATAGCAGAGGTTCTCAAAACTCTGATCAGAAACCCTAGGGCAGGGTACCTCTTAATCTGTCTATATATCAGGCCCCACCCTTGCAGATTCTGATTGTGTAGAACTGCTGGGCGCTGGCCTACGTTTTTAAGTTCCCAAAGAGATTTTGACACCTGACAAGATCGAGAAACCTCCAGCCAAGGATCAAGTCTGATCTCTGCTTGGTTACACCAGACCCTTTGTGACCATGCTTTAGCGTAGACATTGGCCACATTTCCCATCATGCTCCACATGTCTACTTGTCTAGGTAAAATCGTTCATTTTTATGTGAATCCACTTAAAGATTATATTTGCAAAAAAAGTGGAAAATGGTAACATTTAAATCCCTACTAATGTTATTTGTAATGTGTTTCCTGCCTTTTTAGTGGATGATGCTGGCAAAATAGAACACGGCGGTTCCTCTGGAATGGCTGAGTCGGAAATTGATCCTTGTAAAGTGGATGGTTCTTGCCCTGAAGTCATTAAAGTGTACATTTTTAAAGCTGACCCTGGAGAGGATGACTTAGGTAATATCACTCATCCTGATCGGAACCCTTTAACCTGATTACTTTTGGGTGGATTAGATTGAGAACCTTTTCTGAAGATAACTTTTAAGCATGGTTTCCAGCTCGGCCAGCATGGCTCAGTGGTTAAGCATATGAACAAGGAGGTTGGCGTTCGATTCCCATTCAGGACACCTGCCTGGTTGATCCCCGGTAGGGGGTGTGTAGGAGGCACTGATCAGTATTCTTTCTCATCATTGGTGTTTCTATCTCCCACTCTCCCTTTCTGAAAGAAATAAAATTATATTTAAGGAAGGTTTCCAATGTAGCAGTAGAAAAGTATGTAAAACGTGATATGTGAAATAGGTGGAAATGAAGTTCTCTCATAAATTTGTGGAGCTGTCATCTTCCCTAATAGGTGGCACCGTAGACATTGTGGAGAGTGAACCCGAGAATGACCATGGAGTTGAACTAATTGAGCAGAATAGCAGTATTCGTGTGCCAAGGGAAAAGATGGTTTATATGACTGTCAATGACTCTCAGCAAGAAGATGAAGATCTGAGTAAGTAGATGGTCTTTTTGTGGCCGAAAATGTAATGTTCTTGTAGCTCTTTAAAAATAAAAATAAAAAAATCTTTAAATATGGCCCTAGCCGTTTTGGCTCAGTGGATAGAGTGTCAGCCTGTGGATTGAAGGGTCCCAGGTTTGATTCCGGTCAAGGGCATGTACCTCTGTTTCAGACTCAGTCCCCGGCCCCAGTCGGGGTGCATGTGGGAGGCAACCAGTCGATGTGTCTCTCTCACATCAATGTTTCTTTCTCTCCCTCTCCCGTCCACTCTCTCCAAAAATCAATGGAAAAAATATCCTCAGGTGAGGATTAACAAGTAAAAAAAATAAAAAATAAAAATCTTAAATATGGCTAATATTTAAAGGAAACAAGTAACATTATTGTAGAGATTGATATGCTGCCGTAAGGAAAACAACAATAACTCATTATGTATTCTAAGAACTTGAATGTAAAAACGAATAGTATCAGCAATGAAAAAATGAATTATTGTGAAAACCAAGAAATGAACGATTCATTCATACATTTGAGTGCTTATATGTGAAAACTATGGTTCAAATATAACATTTGAACCTTCTTTCTACTTGTCTATTAATTGAATTCAAATGGCAGTATCTTCCCTATTATCTGTGTACACCTGGTCACAAAAGTTTATATAATCTTCGACTTAGATGTTGCTGAAATTGCTGATGAAGTGTATATGGAAGTGATTGTAGGCGAAGAGGATGCCGCCGCAGCCGCCGCCGCGGCCGCCGCACACGAACAGCAAATCGATGACAATGAAATCAAAACCTTCATGCCAATAGCGTGGGCAGCAGCTTACGGTAAGTTGCATAGCCGCTCTCCCAATTGAGTTGGTTCTTAAATGTGAATTCAGGCTTGAAAAACGGTTTCTGCGGTCTTAGGTTTCAGAAATCTGAAATACCAGTACCCTATCGTGGTTACTTGATTTGAACAGGACTAGAGGAAGATTATAAAGTCTACTGTTTGTGTTTATTTTTAACAAGACTTTTCTTCATGTGTGTAGCATGTAGAATGAAGTATTGCAAGAAGCACACAGGCTTTCAAGCTGAAACTTGCAGCTCGATTCTATCTGGCCCATGCCTTTTCCATTTTGGGAGACAAGGGAGACTATGGGGCAAAATGCTGACGTGTCTTTTAGATTTGGAAGCGAGGCCATTTCTTCCGGTCTTGTTATAATAAATACGGTCATGGAACCCATTATCTAGAATGGGGAATTTCTGTCATTCATGAGTATCATGGCTTACTTTTCGTTGTTGTAGTTAATAAAGAATCCCTCATTCTTTATAATTTATAATACAGTATAATTTTGTTTTTTAATGCGCATCGTTAGGTAATAATTCTGATGGAATTGAAAACCGGAATGTCACTACAAGTGCCCAATTACACATAGATGAGTCTGTTGGACTTGGCAGACTGTCTAAACAAAAACAAAAGAAAAGGAGAAGACCTGATTCCAAGCAGTACCAAACAGGTGAGGGCACACGAGTTGCACAGCGCAGCGTGCTTTGCGAGCTCTCAGTTGGAACTAGTATGTATCCACAGAGGTGTTGTGATGGCGTTTTAGCTGCTAGAGACCACGTGTAACTTCTGCATATCAAAGTTGAAAATATAATTTTAAGAATTCAGTGATATTCATGAATGATTTTCTTGGATAAAAAGAAACTGAATGGATCGAACACGGATGAAAATAATTAAAAACTCTGATTTTTTTTTTTTTTTGTGGAAATGAAAAGAAATCCCTCAGATATGTTACAAACATTAACTTTTTAAAAAGTAATATATTTAAAGAATCTGATTATGTCAGCGTAAGGAGGCATACTTTACAGAGCAGCAGAACAGATACTTCAGTTCATGTGACGTATTCCTGTCTATTTTTGTATGCCCATTTAAGCTTTGCTGTAAGTTGACATCAATTATGTTTTTTGGAATAACCAAAGAGGACATTGGGATTACACCACTATATTTTTATGAATAATTTCCCACTGATTTCTAAATTGATAATATTAGCTTTAACCGCTAGTTAATAGAAGTTACATATTCATGTATTGTTTTATACTGGAGGGAGTGAGGTTGGTCCAGTCATACCCGATAAAGTTTGCAGACCAGGTTCCTCTTTATGACAAGGTTGATATATCTCCTATGTTGAAAAATGCTAAAAGGAATGTTAAGCAGCAAATAGCTTAACTTGGGAGTATTTGCCCAATAATGGCCAGAACACACCCTTTCAATTCTCGACGAAACCAAACTAGAACTTGGTTTGATCTCTCATGCACCTCTCTTTTCCTTTCTTAGCAATTATAATTGGCCCTGATGGACAACCCATAACTGTCTATCCTTGCATGATTTGTGGGAAAAAGTTTAAGTCCAGAGGTTTTCTGAAAAGGCACATGAAAAACCACCCCGAACACCTTGCCAAGAAGAAGTACCGCTGTACTGACTGTGATTACACTACCAACAAGAAGATCAGTTTACACAACCACCTGGAGAGCCACAAGCTGACCAGCAAGGCCGAGAAGGCCATCGAATGCGATGAATGCGGGAAGCATTTCTCTCACGCCGGGGCTCTGTTTACTCACAAAATGGTGCATAAGGAAAAAGGAGCCAACAAGATGTACAAGTGTAAATTTTGTGAATATGAAACAGCCGAACAGGGGCTACTGAACCGCCACCTCTTGGCGGTCCACAGCAAGAACTTCCCTCACATCTGCGTGGAGTGCGGCAAAGGCTTCCGCCACCCCTCGGAGCTCAAAAAGCACATGCGCATCCATACTGGGGAGAAGCCATACCAATGCCAGTACTGTGAATATAAGTCTGCAGACTCTTCTAACTTGAAAACGCACATAAAAACTAAGCATAGTAAAGAGATGCCATTCAAGTGTGACATTTGCCTCCTGACTTTCTCAGATACCAAAGAGGTGCAGCAACATGCTCTTATTCACCAGGAAAGCAAGACACACCAGTGTTTGCATTGCGACCACAAGAGTTCCAACTCCAGCGATTTGAAGCGACACATCATTTCGGTTCACACGAAGGACTACCCCCATAAGTGTGATATGTGTGATAAAGGCTTTCATAGGCCCTCAGAACTTAAGAAACATGTCGCTGCCCACAATGGTAAAAAAATGCACCAATGTAGACATTGTGACTTTAAGATTGCAGATCCATTTGTTCTAAGTCGCCATATTCTCTCAGTTCACACAAAAGATCTTCCATTTAGGTGTAAGAGATGTAGAAAGGGATTTAGGCAACAGAATGAGCTTAAAAAGCATATGAAGACACACAGTAGCAGGAAGGTGTATCAGTGTGAGTACTGTGAGTATAGCACTACAGATGCCTCAGGCTTTAAACGACATGTTATTTCCATTCATACAAAAGACTACCCTCACCGTTGTGAGTACTGCAAGAAAGGCTTCCGGAGACCTTCGGAGAAGAACCAGCACATCATGCGGCATCACAAAGAAGTGGGCCTGCCCTAAAAATCCTTCTACAGACGTTTGTGCAGATGCTGGCCTTGGAGCAGAGAATTCATTTTAAAGCCAATTAGTCTTGTTCCCATACAATACTGTATATTGATTTATTCTGTGTACAAATAGAATATTGCTTGTAGTTGACTTTTCTTTTTTTTCTTTTTCTTTCTTTCTTTCTTTTCTTTTCTTTTCTTTTTTTTTTTTAAACATTTTCTTCAGTAGTGTGTTCTGAATCCTATTCAGTTTGTTTAATTAATGGGGAAAAGCAGCAACAAGCAAGTTGCTTTTAATGAAGTAATCCTTGCTTCTATACTGAAATTTTCTATTAGTTTCATATTTATTTAAATATTTACCTTGCTTATTATCTTGATGGTACTCTCCTAAGACCATTTAACATAAAGCTAGGGTAACTTTAGATCGAGTCAATATGATGACTTTCAGAGTAACTATCCCCCCCCAATACATTTCTTACAGTAAAATTGTTAGAGACGTCTAACAGAAATGGAAGATTTAACAGTCACGTCCAATTAGGCTAACACGAAAGTCATGTACTTGTCTTGCTTAATCTTTTCTGACCACATGACAATGAAAGTTTCCATTTGAGCTTTGTATCCCTGGCATTGCTGAGTAAAGAACAGTGGGTGGGTTTTGTGCTTACTTTTCATTTTGTTTAGTGGAAAAAATATACCTTTGGGGGGCTTTCTTTGGAGTATTTACATCTTTTGTCTGCATAGCAAAGTCTTAGAAAACCTTATTGACAAATTTTGCTTGATCCTGTTGTATTTTGATTATTCTGTCTGTGCTGCTTTGTCTTGGAATGGTTGTGTGCTACAAATGAGACTTATCGAGGACTGCATTTTGGAATCTCCTAGAGGTAATTTGTGGCTCATAGGATCTTTTTGCAACTTTATATATGTATATGTACCCTGAACTATGTATATGCACATATATATATAAAACATGTATCTGTGTGTATTGCTTATTTTACATATTTATACACACAACCCCAAGTAGTAGTTGTTTAAAAATCTATAATGAAAAGTATTAAATTTACAATAACATGAAAGATGCAGGGATGTATGAGAGCATTTTTTAAATCATGCTCTTCAGAGAGACTACTCAGGTGAAGAATTAGAAGGAAAATAAGGACACTCGTATTTTTAAAGAGTAAAGGTATTTTCTTTTAAATATCTTTGGTAATCGAGAAATAGAAGTTAAGATGTTTCTAGATAGAATGTTTTCATACACCTTCAGCTCCATGCCTTTATATTTTTCTGAAAAGCTAACGAGTATCCAGACAGACCTTCCTCAGTTCTCTCTGAGAAGCCCCCGAGGGAACTCTGCGTTACCGAGCGAGGGAGACTCAAGAAGCTATAAGCTAGCTTCATGTATCAGAGATCGGGTGCTAATTATGATTTACACTTGGCAAGTTCAGCCTACTCTGTTATTTCTTAGTTGTAGTTAGGAAACTTTCGAAAACGTAACGCTCAAGTTGGCTTTGATTAGAACATAACGTTAAAGGTATGTTTTACGTGCATGAGGAAAATAATCTGATGCCTTATTTGGAACTTCATCATGTCTTTCACTGTTTTATTTTTCTTTGAGTTGATTTTTGTTTTTAAACAAATAGTTCAGACTCAGATTGACAAATGCATAAAGGAACACTAACGTTAATTAGCATTTGGTTATGTTAGCATAAATGTTAGAGAACAGAAAAGACAGTTGGGGGGGGTGTCCTGAAATTGGCTGTCAGCACATACGAGTACCTGGCACGTCGTGGGAGATTTTGGACTTTTCTTCCCACTTGATAGCTGCCTTGCCACTTCATTATGGTGCTCCATCCTCTTTGTGCTTTTAGGTTTTTACCTTTCATCTTTCTCTTTGCCGTTGATCTGTATTCAAGAGTTTTATAGGATTAGAACTCTAAATATCGTGTGTTTGGCAAGCGTCCGAAGTATCGGATTGATTTACTTCAGTTCTAAGTCAAGTACTTTGAAGCTGGCATGAACTCCAACCTGAATGCCAGTCAAAACCAAGGCATGGGCCTGTCCCAGTGGGAGCTCCCGTGCCCTCTTGGCCTCTATAACGTGCTTTTAAAGAAAAAGTAACTTAAAATTGTGTGATTCATTGCCCTGCAGTACTATTCTTGAAAGCTCTTTTTTTGAGAACCTTTAAAATGTCCCTAATTTTTAATTTTTTTCCCAGAGGTAATGTAAAAACACTTCAGTGAAAGTGGAAATTTATTAATTTTAAAACATCCTATAAAATTAATACAGAAAATATAAATAATTGGTCATTATATTTTTTTAAATAAACTGAGATAAAGAACACAGCATTTTACACACTTTATATTTCTCTTACATAGTCTGGAATCATACACAGTTCTTTTCTTTTTAAAGCACAATATTGAAACCTTTAAAAGCTATTTAAGGGTTTGGTCAAGTGAATATGATAAGATGTATTTGTCTGTATAAAGAGAAAATGAAATTGTAGTCACTGTTATGTACTGACATTAGTTACAACCTAGTTTTACTTAAAACAATTTTGATTAGCAAAGCTAAAAAAAATGGATGTTTCAGTTAAATGTTTTAAAGAGGTACAGATTTTTACAAGGACATAATATAAGTTATTGTTCTGTAGAAATACCCTATTAAATATTGTATGTCCCTCCCTCTGTACACTTTGTAAAAAAAGTAAAATACATAAAAAGAAAATCATATAGGGATGTGTGACATTATTGTAATTGTGTACTTGAGAATAACGTGCAAAAATAAAAATCAGAATATTTTCCTGTTACTGAATGTTTAGTCTATTTGATACCAGTACTAAGTTAATGCTTTTTCTTAAGAAAAAAAAAAAATGTACAGTTTTTGTAAACCTAATAAACATCAAAAGCAGTGGTTTATTTTCATTTCCCCATTTCTTAATTCCTTTTATGCAGCAGTGGAATTTAAAATGCTTGATTGCTTTGAATTTTATGACTTGAATGCAAATACTGATAATATTTCAGCCCTGCGGATTTGCAAGTATTTCAGAGGAGTTAAGAGGTGATTGGTGAGTCCTTTGATGAGCATGTCCTTGAAATTTATTTTTTTCTTTTATCTTCATAAAGGATTTGTTTTATTAGCATCTCAAATTCCCCAGAGATAAATTTCCCTCCCATAAAGTGGTTTGTGAGAGCACTTAAAGTTCAATTTAGTATCAGTGCATAGCACATTGGGTTAGTGGGGGTTGTCCCCACCCCCACCTCAGAAACCCTGCCCTAAGCTTCCCATTTGTGCCCACTTTGGAGGGTTCTAGAAGACACTAACATACTAGAGAATGATTATTGTCATAATAAGAGAAGTTAGGGAAAAGTTATCAGGAGTTAAAAAAGAACAAGATAGATTTGTCATTGATTTTTAAAGATGAGATCCTGCTGATCCTCAACTATGTAGGACTAAGTATTTGCCTAATAGTTGAGACAATAAATAATAAAAACTTAAGGCAAAGGATCAAGAGGACATGGTGAACGTCACTGTCCAAAGCCGTAAATCGGACAAAAATCGTAGCATGCTGAGAAACTGAGTTGTAATAAAATACCTGATGACATCATACCAATCTTTGAGCCCAGGCAGTGTATCGCTCTGTTCTCTGGGAATCTTTGTATTGACAATTTCCTTGATCTCCCACAAATTCTAGAATTCATGTAAAGAAAAGCATGACCAGTTAAACTCTTAAAAGGGTTGCTGTTGCAGAGCAGTGGTTTTTCAAGTGCTGCCAAGTTCTCAGCCCTACCCAAGACCCACTGCCTGAATCAGAAAACTGGGTGTGGGACCCAGTGATCTTATGTCTTAACGTGTCCTCCAAGTAATTCTGCTGCATGCTTAAATTTGGGAAACACTGTTTTAGAGCACTTGAGGGACTTCAAAGATTAGAAACACACATACACACGAGCCAGAGAGAAGCAGTTAAAGGTGACATGGGACTCAGTTGATATCTTGGATTTACCCCTCTTAAAGTGTGAGCCTGCTGGTCAGTAAGTAAATCCTGTAGTCCACATGTAAGTAGCCTGCACTTAATCTTGTATGACTTCCCCTAAGTTACACTCCTCAAAGGTGGATTAGAATTCAGAGGAAGAGTCAGCAAGTAAAAGAGAAGGACTGGAAAGTGTGTGTGTGTTTTAATTGGCCCAACATCACTTAAGTAATTCATATCTGAAAACCCATATCGGTAGCTGTTCAACTTTGCCCATTTGGGTTTTGTTTTGTCTTGTGTATATATTGTTTGCCTTTTTCATAAAATAATTCTTGGATTTGTTATATATTGTTCCTGTTATTTTTGACATCTGCTATTGTTGTAAATAAATTCCTATTTTGTTTTAAGTTACCCTAGTGGAGTGTTGGCTGTAGACAGGGTGTGTGCGTGCATGCGCGCGCACGCACACACGCGCACGCACACAAACACACACGTGGAAACGAAGAAACATAAATCACAGGGTTAATAAATTCTTGACACAGTATCAGCTGGAAGTGATGTGACCTCTTTAATAGTTGAGCACTTCTAGCACCAATGAAAGTGTCAGTGTTGCATATAGGTGTGACACCTGCACCAGCTCGGACTTTATTTTTTTATTTAAAAAATTGTTTTTTATTGATTTCAGAGAGGAAGGGAGAGAGAAAAACATCAATAACGAGAATCATTGATCAGCTGCCTCCTGCACATCCCACACCGGGGATTAAGCCCACAACCCGGGCATGTGCCCTTGACCAGAATTGAACCTGGGACTTTCAGTCTGCAGGCTGACACTATCCACTGAGCCAAACCAACTAGGGCACCTGCTTAGACTTTAAAATCACTTTTGTGACCTCTGGGATGGCAATTCTTGCAGTTTTATTAAGTTTGAGGTAAAACTCAAGACTGATTTTTTTTTTCTATTCACTTGATCCCAAATTACTTGTATTGTTGGTATCAGTGAACACAAGGGATTTGGCATTGTAGTGACCTGCTGATCCTGTAAAGCCATCAGGATACTTTGCTACAGAAAACTTGCTTAGGAATTGTAGGTAGCATTTATTCATGATGTGAATTACCACAGAAATACCAAATCTATTGACAAAAGTAGAATAGTTCACTAGAACTATATCATTTTGCTTTTATCCAAG